TGTAGCACCGCACCCGATGACACTGAAGATGAGGAAACCGTCTCTTAACGGTATAATCTTCTTCGTTAATTAACACGTCGGATGACGCTTGTTTGACGGTCTTGACAAAAGATGACGGGCTGAGATAACTGTAATTGTACATTAGGAAAAATATATTTCCATTCAGAAGACGTTGATGAACATCAGCAGAGGCGCAACGACGTTATAGTCAGGCGGAATCGGGGAAAAACTGCGCAAAGACACCGAGTCGCGTGAACTCTTTTTACTACAACAGCTTCATCTTTCCTGAAACGCATTTAGTAAGCACAAACATTGCTCAAAGCAGCACCAAAATATTGACAAGTATTGATAATATAAGAATTATTTTTTTTATATCGCAGCAGCCGCGCAGGCAAAAGCCTAAATGCCGGAACAACGCGGCTACTATGACGATCCCAAAGAAATTTTGTTAATACGATTTTTGAACTGCCTAAGGTTAGTAGAACTGGGAAAAGTCTTCTCTTGTAGACTGTTCCACGATCTCGACACCCTCGGGACGCCACAGAATGTCCTTCTGATCTGATTCCAAAGAAACATCTCTGGAGCAGGAAAGACTGCTGCGGACAAAAACCACAACTTCCCCGTCCTTTCTCAGATTGGGGTGCACCTCGTAATTTGCGAAGTTAATATGGATAATCGGTGTAGACTTTGATATTTTTGTCTCCGCCAAGAAAAGCATGGCGAGACGATACAATTGCAGGTGATGTTGCAGTTAATCTCGCAGATGTTCGTAAAACAAATTTTATCTTCGATGTTGTTCCCTCTAGCCCACCCTCCAGGTGGACGTTCCGAGACTGGAGTGAGTTTACGTCCGGAACTCTTAATGCTCGACTGTATCGCTTAGGTGCGGACATTTATAAGACACCCTGGGAAATCCTAGTGGGTGGTACCGCCTCGGTCGACTGGTTCTTGTCTACCACCATCGTTTGGACTTGGACCGTCACCCGGCAACCAGTACTGAGTTCTTCCTTAACGCGTGCACAATCGCTTGAACGGGAAGAAGTTGTATACTGGATACAACAACTTACGGAACAAGCATTTGCCACGGCCGCGCTCAGTAGGAGAGAGATGTTTTGATTAGGTATTTGTTTGTGTTGTATTCGATGTATTGCTTCTATTACCCATTGAGTAACGTGGGGCTATAGGGGGATACAGGGGAAAGGGGGAACACGTGTGCATGCAACATGCACACATTCTGGCTCCGCCTGCGAGATCCGCCGGTTGGTACCACCACTTTCGATAGTCAGAGACCATCTACCACCTACGGACAATCACAACCTCCATAGACAAGAGAAAAGTTTCATAGTAAATATGCATTTAAACAATAAATATACTCTGATATTTTGTAATATTTTCAAAAATGGTGATTTTATTCTGATGGATAAAAAAGAATTCCAGAAAAATTAGTTTTAAAAAATAAAAATCCGTGTAAGATATTCTTTGGCGTAAATTTTAGGAACAAAATATCGAGATGCGGTTTTTGCGAACTTTTGTCATCATTTAGCTACTTTTTCATAAAAAAATCATACCAATGCACTTATTTTTTGGGAAAATTAGCTATTTCTGTCGGAATCCCGAAAACAGCCCTCTAGTGGCCAGATGTGAAACTAACAAAACTTCAAATATTAAAGCGTTTGTAGTCCAGGAACAGCTCTTTTCAACTAGCATAAGCTTGTACAGGGTGTTTCTTGCGAAAGTCTTTGAATACCCTCCCCACCACTTTATTTTAGCAAAAATTGGCAAGCAAAAAAGTTCACATTATCCTCGACTTTAAAGATCAGGTATTTTTTGTTAGGTTAATATAGCAATATAGCGGAATTTACAGAAACATTACGTTTTTCGATTCAAGATTTAAGAAACTATATAGGGTGTTTCAGTTTATTGTTGCATAACTTTAAGATTCGATAGAACTCTTAAAATTAATGCATAAAGTCTATATAAACATGGGTCGAAAAATGCGTGGCTTCAGAAATACAGGGTGTTTAAATTTACTTTCTAAAATAGTTTTTTTTAAATATTTCGAACAATATTTGATGTATAACAGTGAAAATTGGAATACAACGGTTTTTCGGTACGACAAAACGAACCATGGGCATAGTTTTACTGCAGCCGCTAGAGGGCGCTCTCTACTGTACCTGTAGTGTATTAAAGTGACCGAAAATTTCTCTTAGTGCAATTTTTTGCTTTTTGAATAAAAAAACGGATTCTTCGCACTTTTCAACATAAAAAAGCTCTCTCGTGAATTTTCGTTATAGTTAGCCGTTTTTGAGATATTTCGATTTTTAAAGTTCGATGAATTTTTATTTATTTATCAGTACCTCGATAATTTTTAGAAGTAGGCTGTGCCTGCACATATTTTTGAAATTGAAAGCAGAATACGGTTAAACGTCAATTAGTTGACAGTTAGTTTTGTGGTCTGTTGAAACCTGAAACGTTTTTTTGCAATTGTGAATGCACGAAATTAAGTTTCTTTTACCTGTTTTTTTTCGAAAGTTTCATAAAAATGCCATTTTTATTCTCCAATCAAGAGTTAGCGGATATTCATTTTGTGTATGGCTTTGTAAATGGAAACGCAGCAGAAGCAGCCAGAGAATACGCACGAAGATTTCCAAACAGACGACATCCAACTCGCTCAGTATTTGTAAGAGTGCATCGCCAAATAATTGAAAATGGTTTTGGAAATCTCCAAAGGGATCAAAACATAAATGTTCGTCAGCGCAGATTTACCCATATGGTTCTGCGTGAGTTTGATAGAGATCCGACCACAAGTGTTAGGAGAGTATCTGGTGCCTTGGGAATTTCAGCAAGCCATGTTCACCATGTTCTTAGAAATGACCATAGACGTCCTTACCATTTGCAACCTGTGCAAGGACTGCAGCCAGGGGACGGAGAACGAAGAGTCACATTTTGTCAGTGGATTCTTGATAGAACTGATAATAATAGGGAGTTTTTAAGTAACGTTTTATGGACCGATGAGTCATGCTTCACTAGACGTGGAGTGGTACATTTTCATAATCAACATATTTGGTCGCTTGAAAATCCGCATGCAGTTCGGGAAAGAAATTTTCAGCATGAATTTAATGTGAACGTGTGGATTGGTATCTACCGTAATCGACTATTTGGACCCTACCTTTTGCCTGCAAGGTTAAATGCTGCGACCTTCTTTTAATTTTTAAAGGCTGAACATGCAAATATGTGGGATGATGTTATGTTAGATTTAAGAAGATTGACCTGGTTCCAGCTTGATGGTTGTCCAGCTCATTATTCGAGAATAGCTAGAAACTGGCTGGACGAAAATTATCCAGAAAGATGGATCGGCCGTGGAGGACCAGTCGCCTGGCCTCCACGATCCCCCGACCTAAATCCATTAGATTTCTTTGTTCTTTGTTTTGACTCGACTGAAGCGAGGACGGCCAGGTGCTTGAAGTGGAGGTCCCAGTTATGAGGGGTGACCTCACATATAGTGGCTTCATAACCAGTTGTAGGCGAAGTTGAACTTAAAGGCGATGGCGCTGCCAAGGCACATGCATGGGTGAAGTGATAGGCCAAGCAACGCAAAGTCAAAGACTAAGGCAAAAGCAAAGTCAAAGACAAAGGCAAAGGGAAAGGGATAGAGAAAGGGAAAAGGGGTGGCCCCAATATATCGATTATCTATAAACTACAGGCAGATCCAGCAATAAAACTGTATAGTATTATAAAACTCTCCATTTTGTCCTATACGGACACACATTCTACAAAATTCTAGCACATGGTGCTATATGACCTTGTGCTACAGAGTAGAAAATTCTTAGCTCTTGTTCGATCGGCGGCTCAAGTGAAAAAAAAGCGCGAGGAAGATCGCAGATCAGGAACTCCTCATCAAGCGGGCTCCAAGCGGAAAATTTTCCAAGTAAAAAAAGCTAGAGATGGGATTAATGAATTGCGATTCTGAAATGACAATCGAGAAGTGATTTAATAAATACAATCGGACGGTGAAACCTTATTTGAATAATGCTATACCACGATCGATCATTCGTAGATGTGAATTGTGTATTGAACAATTGGGTATACATTTCGAGCAACTACTTTAGATTTTGTATGTTTGTCGTAACTATCCAATAGCATTTTAATTGTAAATAATTAATTTAATTTGTTAAAAATAATATTGGAAAATTAAACAAATTAATATTCTGTTTTTTGTGTTTATTTGGAGTTAGGAATTATTGCTGTGTTTAAAAACACAATCTAAACGATCATCTTAATTACTTGTAATGCCCAAATCGAAAATGTAAAAAAAATATTATTTTCCCATAAATAATTAAAAATGTATCGAACCTTAAAGATCGAAATATCTCAAAAACGGCTAACTATAACGAAAACTCACAGGAGAGCTTTTTTATGTTGAAAAGTGCGAAGAATCAGTTATTTTATTCAAAAAGCAAAAAATTGCACTAAGAAAAATTTTTCGGTCATTTAAAGACACTACAGGTACAGTAGAGAGCGCCCTCTAGCGGCTTTTGTCGTACCAAAAAACCCTTGTATACCAATTTTCACTGTTATACATCGAATATTGTTCGAAATATTTTAAAAAAAACTATTTTAGAACGTAAATTTAAACACCCTTTATTTCGGAAGCCACGCGTTTTTCGACCCATGTTTATATAGACTTTATGCATTAATTTTAAAAGGTCTATCGAATCTTAAAGTTATGCAACAATAAACTGAAACACCCTGTATCTAACATTTTCCATTTTTTTCTCTAGGCCGTTTTAGTAAAAACTTTCTTGGCGCAAGGCTCTACGATGAATAGCTTACCAGATACAGTACGTCGCGTTGTTAGTTGGTCACACATGCACGATCCAAAAAAAGTTTGCAAAATTTTATGAGATAACAACACAACAAATGTAGCCAATTACGGCATTCTATGCAAAACGTCTCTAAGCGAATGGGAACCTACGAATCCACAAATAAGACATAAAGTATAGCTTCCAAAATTAACTTTAATAAGAAAAATAGTTACATCAAAATTGAGCTATAACCTCTAAGTATATGAACACCATAAATATGTACAAATCCGATGACAAAATATTGTAGTTACTGGAGAACACTACAAGCAATCAATTCATTTACACGAATTGACTCCGTTTGTTAAAAAAATCATCAGTGATCATCGATATTACCGGTTGTCCCGAAGTAATGCTGTCCGGATTGTCCGTGAGGATGGTGGACGACATGTCCAGGTTCCCCAGAGCTCTGCGCCCAAATTGCCGGACCCCCAAAGCTCTGTTCGTAGCTGTAACTCTCCACAGGCCCCTCACTGTGGATGCTTCCCTGAGGGACGCTGTAAGTTGGGATACTTGGACTCTGACGGATCTCCTGAGGTGCTCTGTACGCCTCGACTAAGGGGATGCTGTGAAGGACTTGGGGTCCTTTATATTCCACCCTTACGTCGGGAGCTGCCTCTTGGTAGTGCTGGATTTCCGGTTGGGCGTAAGCGATCTGTAACAGATCAGATTGACAGGTGTCAGTAAATTTTAAGAGAAATACTTGTTAAAATAGCTGTTTTAACAACAACGTCTTTTCAGAGACACGTGATTGTCCATTGGGTTCCGTGCAGAATATGTAACACTGGACAGTTTTTTAATTGTATCTTGTGGGAAAAGTGCACTTCTTTGTTAATTTTGGGGCGCTGAATCAAAAAATGACAATGAAATAAAAAAAATTAGTTGCGGTTTAGAAAAAAACTTTTTATTTTTAAGGATATATTAAAAAAAGTAACAAGATTCATATACTTATAAGAATCACTATATGCGCTGTCTTTTTGCTGTTCTTTTATGGATCGTTTCTGGAGCATCTCTACCAAGAGTCCAACAGTAGTCTGCAAGTATGGAAGGTTTCCACTTTCCCTGGTACCTTTTTTCCATTGTTGAAATATCCTGATGAAAACGTTCGCCGTGCTCATCACTTACGGCTCCGCAATTGTTAGGAAAAAAGTCCAGGTGTGAGTGTAGGAAATGTATCTTAAGAGACATATTACAGCCCATCTTTTGATACGATTGCAGCATATTTTTGACAAGGGTTTTATAGTTGTCAGCTTTTCTATTTCCCAAGAAATTAGTGACCACCAGACGGAAATCATTCCAAGCAGTTTTTTCAATACCTGTTAAAGTGTTTTCAAATTGTGTATCTTTCAAAATATTTCGAATCTGTGGCCCAACAAAAATACCTCCTTTAACCTTTGCCTCACTTAGTCTTGGAAATTTCTGACGCAGGTATTGAAAAGCTGACCCATCTCTATCTAATGCCTTGACAAAGTTTTTCATTAGGCCCAACTTGATATGCAGTGGTGGTAATAAAATTGTTTTCGAATCTACTAATGGCATATGCTGTACATTTTTTTGACCTGGCTCCAGGAATTGACGAACAGGCCAGTTTTGTCTGGTATAATGAAGTGGCTTTGCCCGACTGTCCCATTCACACAAAAAACAGCAAAACTTTGTGTAGCCTAGCTGCAGCCCAAGTAAAAGTACAACAACTTTCAAATCGCCACAAATATGCCATTGGTGCTCATCGTATTTCATGCATGTCAATAGGTACTTCATATTGTCATATGATTCTTTCATGTGAACTGCATACCCTACAGGAAGAGATGGTAAAATATTTCCAATATGCAATAACACTGCCTTTAAACTCAATGTTGAACTGTCTATAAACAATCTCCATTCTTCTGGGTTATAGTTTATATTTAAAGCCGCCAGTAAGCCGTTAATGTTACTGCAGAAAACCAAGTTATTCTCCATATTGAAAAATGGTTCTTTGCGGCGTTTACGAAAAACACATACCGAAACATCGTCTTCTAATAAGTTCCACTGCTGCAGTCTTGATCCAAGTAACTCTGCCTTACATTTTGGAAGTTCTAAATCTCTTACAAGATCATTTAATTCTGATTGTGTTATTTTGTGCGGTGGGTGGCATGACGTGCTCGGTATAAAATCAGGATCTCTTGACGTTGATGGCATATCTTCTTCCTGACGAATCACTCGATCGCCATGATCTGATTCGTTTTCTGATTCGCAAGTGTAGGATTCTGGGGGTTTTGGAATAGAATTTTCATCACTGTGAGGCACAGGTCTCTTCGCAGATGGTATGTTTAAATGGTTTTATTTTAATAAAATTTTGTATAAGTACTTAATGAAGCATAATAAGTAAATGATAAAAATTTCAAAATGATTGCACTGCTTTAAAGCCCTTTGACCTTTAATAATGTGTGGATGCACCCACCCTGATGTGCTACGCATTCTCCAACGCGCCTAGGCATGCTTCTGATCCTCCTGTGGTATCTCATTCCAGGCAACCAACAACTCCTCTCGAAGTGCTTCTAGAGTCTGAGGAGGACGTTGCAAATTGAGCAATCTCCTACCCATCATATCCCACACGTGCTCAATTGGGGATAAGTCGGGAGATCTTGGTGGCCATGGTAACAATGTGACATCGTTATGTTGAAAGAAGTTTATTGTGACTCTTGCAACATGTGGTCGGGCATTATCTTGTTGGAAAATTGGATCTGCCAGGGTGTCCAGATAGGGTAAAAGATGGGGTTCTAGAACTTCGTGGATATAACGCTGCGCGTTCATGTTACCTCTGATGAAGATTAAAGGTGACCTGGAACCATAAGCTATAGCACCCCAAACCATAACTCCAACAGTGTGATGAACATGTCTTTCAACAAAAAACTGTGGATTCCTCCTTTCACCACGTCACCTTCTAACCCTGGCACGACCATCGTGCATGCCTAAACAAAATCGAGACTCGTCACTAAAGACAATACTGTTCCATTCCTGATCCCAGAGTGACCGTTGTCTGCACCACTCAAGACGATTACGTCGGTGTTCTCGAGTTAAAGGGAGGACCCAGTGTGGCCGGTATGAAAACAAGCCAAAACTTCTCATTCGTCGGTAAACACTTCGCATGCCAATAGGTCTTCCGTGTTCTGCAAACCATTCATTTGCAATGGACCTGGTAGTGGAGAAACGGTCCCTTAAGGCCAATAATCTTAGGCGGCGATCTTCATGGTCTGTTGTTCTACGGCGGCGTCCAGTGCCCCTTGCTCTTTGCGTAAGGCCTTCTCAAAGCCATGCCTGACAACACCTAACCACAGTGTCTACACTTCTTTGCACTCTAACTGCAATTGCCCGAAAAGAAAGTCCAGCTTCTCGAAGTCCCACTATACGGCCCCTATCAAACTCACTAAGTTGACGAAATCGTACAGGTCTCCGTACTCTAGGCATCGTAACCGATCGTAAAGGATGTCAAGAACCAAAATCCGCCAACGTTGATTCTTTACTGCGGCTGAAGTATTCATTTTTAGAGCGTTAGTGAATTAAAAAAAAAGCAGTATAAAAACCGGAATGTCCAACTGATAAGGCTGAAAATTTGTTCACCTGTTACTTACAGTAAGATAAATACATTCACCAATTTTTATTAAAATAAAACCATTTAAACTGGGTGTTCGGATTTATATGTCACTTAGTGTACATATAGTTGCTATTTTTCAAATGTATTGTAGCTCCTGATGATGATGACATAGTTCATTGAAAGCAAGAGGATAAAGTTAAAAGCGTACACTTTGCACAATTTGTATACCAGTTAGGCACGTCCTTTTGGCACAAAATTCATTGGCTTTCATTTCAACAAACAAAATAATATCAAGTTGCCTTTGGAAACAAAAGCTTGCTTACTTACTTTACTGTCAGCTGACATTTACTTATTTTGAAGTTTTCGCTTTAGGATTTAGGCTGGAATGTCAACAAAGAGACTGACTCATCAATACAGATCTTCTAATGGTACGATATTGTTGAAATTGAGGAGGGATGGTCTCAAATATCGAACGAGACTTAAGTGCCCCAAAAAGTCTCACGCGCAACTCCTTCGTTTACCAAGATTCTGTCGTTAACTCCGGTGCACTTTGCCAATGTTAATCATCATCATTTTGAAGCTCGAGACAAGTACTTTATAACTCTAGAATATAAAGTCAATAGCTTCACCTACCACAAAATGATGGTACATTTAATAATTACTTGAACACAACCCACTAACATGCATATCTGTACAAATAATCGTCGTATCCACAGCCACAGCGATAAAAACTTGTTTTGTTATTTTTCGTTGACAGTGACAAGAATATCCGTACGAAAACAAGGATTTTTAATCATCGTTTCCTGAATTGTCCTACCGAATATGCAGAATACCGGGTACAAGCCGAGTACTCAGTGCATCCCTAACAATATATATCAAGTAATGCTTACAATATTACAACAAATTGAACTTACTTGGTACGATCCAAGATCCTGATGCTGAGGTACATGTTGAGGCAGGCTGACCTCCTGAGGTATACTATAAGTCACTTGATGCTCCCCGCGCAAAGCACCGATACCTTGGTGGACAATCTCAGGTTGCGATAGTACGATCTCGTGCTTGGGCGCCTCCGGGATACCTTCTAACCTCACAGCGTGAGGTACGAGACCTTGGTAGTCCTCAACGCCGCCGTCGTAGCTTCCGAAAGACAGCGGTTCCTCGATGATGTGAGGCTGCTCCTGGAGGACAGGTTGGTGCTGAACGACCTCGAGGGGTTGCTGGTGATAGATTACGGGTTCTGCTACCACGATTGGGGTGGTGATCAAAGGTGAATGCTCTATGTGACCTGTAAGACGACATCAATTTCTCATGTAGAAAATAACGGCAAGCAGGATTTACTTCCTTTGCCAAAACTGGTGAGGAAGTATAGTAATTGTGAAACATTTCTAAAATGGGCTGAACTATACTTTAGCGCATATCGCAAATGTACCTAATTAAATTTGATATATATGAGAAATAACTGAAAAAGTACATAACAGAAAACATTGCAAGTTTTTTTATGATTTGATGAAATGACCGTTGATCTTTATTTAACTATAATGTTGGACGATGATATGTTGGGTGGACCTGGCGAGGTGGTTAAAATCGACGAATCGACGTTGGGTATTTTTATATGCAATGACCGCTGGTGCCTTTTGTATTTTTTGTCACGCGAGCCGCTGGTGCATTTTCCACTGTTTAGACACGTACTGTTCAAAATGTCATCTAGTTTTCGGTAAATATTCGGACAACTTTTCATAAGACAAGTCATCTATAATCAATTAAGACTTTTATTTTGCAAATAACCTCATTACTAATTACATATTTCTCCCAAAAAAGGTACAACTTGGCAACAATGGACATCTTCTATCTTATCTGTCGAGAAATGTACGTTATAAAGTGGCCGTTGAGAATAGTTTGTGCTTTCAAATATTTCTTATAAACGCAAAAACTGTGATCTTATTGAAAATACGCAAAAAAATGGTTAAGGAATTTCAAGAAGACATTGAAAAATCACAAAACGACACCTCTACACAGTTTACCAAGTTTATACCATCATTTACGTATGTATTTTGATCTGTTATTTAAGCTAGTAAGCTAATGTATAATACCACGTCTGGTTTTGATCATTTTTTTTGCAAAAAACGACGGTTTTTTACAGTTTCACATCTATTTTCCTTAGTACTATACAGTGTATGTTATATTCTTATAATTTAGACTTAGAGCATCCTTTTGTACAAAAAGCAAAAAAAGACAGCAGATGAAACAGTATTCTGTTCTAGAGTATTACCACCAAAAATGCAACTTCGAAGTTCTATTAAAGAAGCAAGCAGAGGGTTCCTTAAAGAAAAAATGATATTTTCGTGAAAGTTACATCCTAATCTTTCATTTTAAAGTAAGAAATGAAGTATTTGCGATATGCGCTAAAGTGTAGTCTTACCCTAAAATGAGATATGTTTTTTAAACGTTATATGACATGTAAATCTTGAAAAGTATGTCACTCATTTCCGACGTTGTGTCTGTTAATTCTATAGCCGTCTATAGCTTGCGAAGTACCGCTCGAATTTTGATGAAATTTTCACACAAGGTTACTACTGTGCCAAGTATGACAAAGCTGAGTAGTTCTTAAAAGTCTGTCTAGTGGCGACGAAGCTAGGGGCAAAAACATGAAAAAAATAAAGATGGTCTAAACTTTGACGTTTCAGACGCTACTGATTCTATTCAGAAAAGTTTGAATTGCGTTTGAAAGATAATAGGGACACCATGTACGGTTTCAACAAATAATTTTTATTCGATAAATAAAACACTGTTTTATTTGTATCTTATATGTTTAGATCTTTATCATTAAAAAAACATTATTTACTAAATTTTCTTGCATTAACTTGTCTGCTCTTTCTGCCGTATCGTTAACTGTTCTCAGTGTTTGCACCTTATTCTTAGCGTGTTGAAAAGAATCATTATGTGGCCTTGACGTTGTACACTCGTCGAGAAAGTTGTAATCAATTTTGAGTTGACTGAACAAGGACTTGCTTTTGATTGAAACAAAGTTATCGATATTTTTCTCTGAAATGAAAGACGAAGCATAGCTACCATCTAAACATACTAGTTATACTAAGTGACATATAAATCCGAACACCCAGTTTAAATGGTTTTATTTTAATAAAATTTTGTATAAGTACTTAATGAAGCATAATAAGTAAATGATAGAAAATTCAAAATCATTGCACTGCTTTAAAGCCCTTTAATAGTGTGTGGATGCACCCTGATGTGCTACGCATTCTCCAACGCGCCTAGGCATGCTTCTGATCAGGTGGTCAATGTCCTCCTCTCGAAGTGCTTCTAGAGTCTGAGGAGGACGTTGCAAATTGAGCAATCTCCTATCCATCATATCCCACACGTGCTCAATTGGGGATAAGTCGGGAGATCTTGGTGGCCACGGTAACAATGTGACATCATTATGTTGAAAGAAGTCTATTGTGACTCTTGCAACATGTGGTCGGGCATTATCTTGTTTTAAAGTTGGATCTGCCAGGGTTTCAAGATAGGGTAAAAGATGGGGTTCTAGAACTTCGTGGATATAACGCTGCGCGTTCATGTTACCTCTGATGAAGATTAAAGGTGACCTGGAACCATAAGCTATAGCACCCCAAACCATAACTCCAACAGTGAACATCATCGCCTTCTAACCCTGACACGACCATCGTGCATGCCTAAACAAAATCGAGACTCGTCACTAAAGACAATACTGTTCCATTCCTGATCCCAGAGTGACCGTTGTCTGCACCACTCAAGGCGATTACGTCGGTGTTCTCGAGTTAAAGGGAGGACCCAGTGTGGCCGGTATGAAAACAAGCCAAAACTTCTCATTCGTCGGTAAACACTTCGCATGCCAATAGGTCTTCCGTGTTCTGCAAACCATTCATTTGCAATGGACCTGGTAGTGGAGAAACGGTCCCTTAAGGCCAATAATCTTAGGCGGCGATCTTCACGGTCGGTTGTTCTACGGCGGCGTCCAGTGCCCCTTGCTCTTCGCGTACGGCCTTCTCGAAGCCATGCCTGACAACACCTAACCACAGTGTCTACACTTCTTTGCACTCTAACTGCAATTGCCCGAAAAGAAAGTCCAGCTTCCCGAAGTCCCACTATACGGCCCCTATCAAACTCACTAAGTTGACGAAATCGTACAGGTCTCCGTACTCTAGGCATCGTAACCGATCGTAAAGGATGTTAAGAACCAAAATCCGCCAACGTTGATTCTTTACTGCGGCTGAAATATTCATTTTTTACTTTAGTTTCATCTACATCGTCGTCAAACAGAGGTAAGACATCTGTCAGATATCATAAATGCTTATTTGAATCAAACATGCCTTTTAACACCAATTCGTAGATGTGATGGCGGCAAGCAAAAGTAAGCATTGTGAGTCTCTGAAATGTTCAGGCATAATAGCTTTTCAGTATAAATCTGTATTTTCTCGAATTGATGACATGTTTAGAAAAGAAAGAGAAAAAAATAGCAGAGTTAGAAAGAAAGTTCTGACACTGATGATTCAATACTTAAATCATCGGATTTAGAAGAAGAAAAAAGACGATTACAAGAATCCACACGTTTTCAAACATTGGAATGAGAGGGCTTCTAGTCACTTGATCGATCTTTGATTCGAACACGCCAAGTTTTTTGTTTCTAGTGCATTAATAATCAGATAACAATGATTTAAAAAGTAAACTAATCCTAAAAAGGTCTTCGGGGACTGAAAGGGGAAGATTTGAAGTTTATATGTACTTGGGAAACTCAAAAATAACAACGTTTGAATTTTAATCACTGGATATTGCCATTTTTATGGTCAATCACTATTCAAACCGCTTATGTCTCGACAGCAGTCAACTTTAGAGAAAAGGTACTTAGAGCGATTTTTGTTCAATATGATCTCAAGGATATACAAAAAAACTTTATCCGGAGCGAAACAACTAAATTTTTGTAATTTACTAGTGAAAACTGCTGTCAAACTGACAAGGCTATCCTATGGCTATTGCGATTCACCACAAAACCGCTGGATCACCTACCGCTTTACGCATTTACAACCGCCAACCTTCAAGTTTCAACCCCTATAAAACATTTTCCGAAAATGCTGAAACGTCAAAAAACGAATTTTTTTTTTTTATCGAAACAGCCGGCAGAAGCCTAAATGCCGGAACACCGCGGCTGCTATGATGATCCCAAAGAAATTTTGTTAATACGACCTTTGAACTGCCTAAGGTTAGTAGAACTGGGAAAAGCTTCCTCCCGTAGATTGTTCCACAATCTAGACACCCTCGGGACAAAGGAGCGGTCGTATCGGCCAGTTCTGGATGTACGAAGTTTGACACGGTTAGGATGGGACGCCGAAGTCAGGCGGGTCTGTCTGGCAGGCACATCGCGCGGCGGCATCATGGAAGAGAGCTCTGAGGAGCAAAGCCCGTTGGTGTAGCGATAGAAAAGAGCTAGATCGCCGACGGCCCGCCGGTGCGAAAGAGTCCCGAGACTGTCTGTTAGAGAAGAGTCATCGATCAGTCGGACCGCCCTCCTCTGGACAGCATCGAGTATGGACAATGTAGTCGGGGCGGCAGCACCCCAAATGTGTGAGCAATACTCGAGGCTAGGCCTTATCTGGGCCTTGTATAGAGTGAGAAGGTCATGCGGAGAAAAGTACTTCTTAGCCCAGACAAATAGCTTAGCTTTTTCCCAGCAGCTGCAGCTATTGAAGAGATGTGTTCGTGCCAGATCAGGTCCTCGGTGATCTGGACTCCGACCAGCCGAAATGAATGGCTCTTTGGTAGAACTCGACCGTCCATCGAAACTGTATGAGCGCTAGGACGCTTTTTGTTCGTCAAAGTACAGTACTGTGTTTTGGAAGCATTGAACTGTACAAGATTGTTGCGTCCCCAAGCAGTGATAGCCTCCAGGTCTCTTGTCAGAGAAGAAGTCGTCGCTAGTCTTCTTTTTTCCAGCTCAGCAGCATATATCGGCTTGTCACTCTGAATTCCTGCATGTAGAGTGCTGTCATCAGCGAAGCTGTGGATTGGGTTGATAGTGCGCAGGAAAGGAGGTCGTTGATATGTAAGAGAAACAGTGTTGGAGCCAAGACCGATCCCTGGGGAACACCAGCGTTGACGTTGTGGGATGAAGAGGAGAATCCGTCAATTACGACGGATATCTTGCGGCCAGAGATAAAGTCAGCCACCCATCTGCAAAGCTGTTCTGGGAGGCCGTAGGATGGAAGTTTGCTTAATAGGGCAGCGTGCTACAGCTGATCGAACGCTTTCGTGATGTCAAGAGCAACGACATGAGCCTTACCATGAGACTGGATGAGTTTACTCCACAGTTGCGTGACGTAAGCTAGGAGGTCCCCTGTGGATCGTTGGTGCCGGAAACCGTACTGCCTGTCGCTAATCAAGCTGTGACGTTCGAGGTAGTCCAGAAGCTCGCGATTTATGCACCTCTCCATCACTTTACTTATAACAGAAAGCAGAGCTATAGGCCTGTAGTTGTAAGGGTCGGTTTTAGATCCTTTTTTTGGGATGGGCTGTACATGAGCAAATTTCCAGTTTTCTGGGAAGGTGCCGGATTCATAAGATATCTGGAAGAGACGCGAAAGAACTGGAGCAAGCTCCGCTGCACATCTCTTCAGTACAATGGCAGGAATCAAGTCCGGACCAGAAGCTTTGTTGATGTCGAGCGACAAGAGCACTCGTCTTACGGTCTTATGCCTGAATGTTACCTCCCGCATAGTGTGGGGAACCCTTTGAATTGACGGCACTTGGGCGTTGGTGGGGACGTCCATGGTGGAGTTGGCAGCAAAGATCTTGGCTAGCACTTCCGCCTTGGCCTTTGAGTCGAATACAATAGTTCCATCCTGACACGTAAGTGGTGGAAGGCTATACTGTGTGAGAAGTTCTTTTCAATCTGCTTGGCCAGCGTCCAGAAAGATCGACTGCCATTGCGCTGCGACATTACCCTGTGCCTAACTTTTATATCATGCTGGTTTTTGGCATTGCGAACCGCTTCGTTATATTTGTTTCTGGACTCGACGTCGGATTGTCTGTTCTCTACAGTGGGGTTTTGTAAGTAGGTTCTGTGGGCCTTGATCTTCTGCTGGCGAGCAGTGTCACACGATTTGTTGAACCAGCCGTTGGACCCTGGTTTAGGAACTTTCACTGTGTGAGGGATGTATTCCTCCATTCCGACGTGGATAATTTCGGTTATTGAAGAACAGACAGTCGACGCATCCGCGTCAGTGAAACAGACATCTCTCCAAGGAAAGCTAGAGAAGAAGTCTCTGAGCCCCTCCCAGTCGGCATGTCCGTAATGCCAAGTTTTGCGGCCTGTGCGAGTTTCTGCGGCCACAGCGGCTTCTGACCGAAACCTAACCTCCACAACACCGTGATCTGAGTTACCCAGGGGGGACAGGACGGCAGTGCTGTAAGGGGCAGGATGCGTGGTCAGAAAGAGATCCAGCAGGCTACTGGCGTGTGACGAGACGCGGGGGAAAAAAGTAGGGCTCGTCACCAGCTGGGTCAGCCCTTGAGTAAGAGCGAACGCTTCGACTGCACGACCTGCTGCATCGGTCTTATTTGAGCCCAACCAAAGCTCATTATGGGCATTGAAATCACCGAGAAGAACTACCTCTGAAGCGGGCTGATTGATGTTCAGGATGGTTAATTTAAACGATTTTTAATAATTTTACTTATATGGCTCCTAGCTCAAAAGTTACAAACCTTTTTTATCCTTGGCATATTAGCGAAAATTTTATCAAAATCCGAGCGGTACTCAATTTATAGGCGGTTATAAAATTAGCGGACACACGAGGGCTGTCCTTTAAGTTTTGCATATGTAAATCAAACAACACGGTAGGTAGTTTTAAATGACTTTATTTTTTTTTTCGAAGTACTTATTCCACTCGTTTGCTGGCAGACCCAAAACGGCATTTTTGAATGCTTCAACTGCTTCTTCTGGTGACTGGAACCTTTGGGAAAGTAAAGAAATCGTTAGGACTTAGATCGGGACGATATGGAGGATGGTCCAATAATTCCACGTTTTCTTCCATTAAATACTGCCTTGTTTTTTGGGCTGCATTGTATTGGTGGAGGATGATCCTTCTTTGAATTTAAGTTTACTAAAGAGTGAGGTTAAGATTCACTACTAACGTTCGATCCGCGCGGCCTACTATGTTTCTATATGCAAAACTTAAAAGGCATCCCTCGTATAAATCAATTTATTGCGATTACAATATATCCTCTCCAGTTTCGGCATAGGAAGTAAAAACGAGTTGTAAATTTTCTAATTTTAATCCTTACAAACCTCCATGGTTCTCAACAGACACATGGCCATGTACGGTGACCCTTTTCACAACAGCTCTGAATCCAGCCTTGTCCGCGATGTAGTCCACGATTCTGGTCGTGCCGTCTGGTTCCAAAAGGCTGTAGCTTCCTCTCACGACTCCCTGTTCGTCTTTAGCTTCCCATTGGTGTTTGTGGTCGCCCGTGTGCGGGTCTGACACTCCGTACTCGAATTGGTAGGGTTTTGGGACCTGGAACGTCATCGATATATGGAAATGGCACCGCTTAACTGATATACTGCGTCCTATTTACTCTTCCCCTTATTTTACGTTTCTTTACCTCATGTAAGCAGGGTGGCCCAACGAAAAAGGTCGCAACCCTATTTGTGACTCTCCTCGTATATTTTAGCTAAAACGCTCGGACACGTCAATTCTGTTTTCTAGGGGGACGTATACTAAGTGACATATAAATCCGAACACCCAGTTTAAATGGTTTTATTTTAATAAAAGTTGGTGAATGTATTTATCTTGCTGTAAATAACAAGTGAAAAAATTTTCAGCCTTATCAGTTGGACATTCCGGTTTTTATACTGCTTTTCAGCCGCAGTAAAGAATCAACGTTGACGGATTTTGGTTCTTGACATCCTTCACGATCGGTTACGATGCCTAGAGTACGGAGACCTGTACGATTTCGTCAACTTAGTGAGTTTGACAGGGGTCGTATAGTGGGACTTCGGGAAGCTGGACTTTCTTTTCGGGCAATTGCAGTTAGAGTGCAAAGAAGTGTAGACACTGTGGTTAGGTGTTGTCAGGCATGGCTTCGAGAAGGCCGTACGCAAAGATCAAGGGGCACTGGACGCCGCCGTAGAACAACAGACCGTAAAGATCGCCGCCTAAGATTATTGGCCTTAAGGGACCGTTTATCCTCTACCAGGTCCATTGCAAATGAATGGTTTGCAGAACACGGAAGACCTATTGGCGTGCGAAGTGTTTACCGACGAATGAGAAGTTTTGGCTTGTTTTCATACCGGCCACACTGGGTCCTCCCTTTAACTCGAGAACACCGACGTAATCGCCTTGAGTGGTGCAGACAACGGTCACTCTGGGATCAGGAATGGAACAGTATTGTCTTTAGTGACGAGTCTCGATTTTGTTTAGGCATGCACGATGGTCGTGCCAGGGTTAGAAGGCGACGTGGTGAAAGGAGGAATCCACAGTTTTTTGTTGAAAGACATGTTCATCACACTGTTGGAGTTATGGTTTGGGGTGCTATAGCTTATGGTTCCAGGTCACCTTTAATCTTCATCAGAGGTAACATGAACGCGCAGCGTTATATCCACGAAGTTCTAGAACCCCATCTTTTACCCTATCTTGACACCTTGGCAGATCCAACTTTCCAACAAGATAATGCCCCACATGTTGCAAGAGTCACAATAGACTTCTTTCAACATAATGATGTCACATTGTTACCATGGCCACCAAGATCTCCCGACTTATCCCCAATTGAGCACGTGTGGGATATGATGGGTAGGAGATTGCTCAATTTGCAACGTCCTCCTTAGACTCTAGAGGAGTTGGTGGTTGCCTGGAATGAGATACCACAGGAGGACATTGACCACCTGATCAGAAGCATGCCTAGGCGCGTTGGAGAATGCGTAGCACATCAGGGTGCATCCACACATTATTAAAGGTCAAAGGGCTTTAAAGCAGTGCAATCATTTTGAAATTCTTATCATTTACTTATTATGCTTCATTAAGTACTTATACAAAATTTTATTAAAATAAAACCATTTGAACTGGGTGTTCGGATTTATATCTCACTTAGTATATTTTCATCTGTAGCTGTACACTTTAGATTTTTTTAATTCTTAGATTTTCCATTAAGTTTTTAGTAACTTTTGTATAATAAAGTGTATACCTAGTTTCAATCGTTTTGAAGTTATTTGAGTTTACAATAAAATTCTAGAAATTGTGATAATGATTGTGATCTTGAAGATAATCAATATACACCTAGTTTCTATATGTACAAAACTACTTTAGTAATTAGTAACATTTCTCCGAGTATTAGAAAAAACAAAAAACAACGTACAGCTTACACGCACATTAAAGTTATACACTAACTCTATTGTACCAGAATTTATAAAAAAAAGATTGGAATGGGCAAAGAAGATTAGATTTATTATTAATTTAGATGTATTTATGGTTGTGATTTAATATTTGGACAGATATATAAACGTTCTAATTTCTCGCAGTTATCAATAAATGACACTAAGTTGCTTAACATCAGCGTTCTTGTTCATACAATTAGTCATAAAAATGTAAGTCATCTCCAGAGAATAACGTTTAGAGATATTCTTGCCGATCAGAAACGTTGATGCTTATATACTAAGTGAAAAATTTCAAAATGATTGCACTGCTTTAAAGCCCTTTGACCTTTAATAATGTGTGGATGCACCCTGATGTGCTACGCATTCTCCAACGCGCCTAGGCATGCTTCTGATCAGGTGGTCAATGTCCTCCTGTGGTATCTCATTCCAGGCAACCACCAACTCCTCTCGAAGTGCTTCTAGAGTCTGAGGAGGACGTTGCAAATTGAGCAATCTCCTACCCATCATATCCCACACGTGCTCAATTGGGGATAAATCGGGAGATCTTGGTGGCCATGGTAACAATGTGACATCATTATGTTGAAAGAAGTCTATTGTGAGTCTTGTAACATGTGGTCGAGCATTATCTTGTTGGAAAGTTGGATCTGCCAGGGTGTCAAGATAGGGTAAAAGATGGGGTCTAGAACTTCGTGGATATAACGCTGCGCGTTCATGTTACCTCTGATGAAGATTAAAGGTAACCTGGAACCATAATCTATAGCACCCCAAACCATAACTCCAACAGTGTGATGAACATGTCTTTCAACAAAAAACTGTGGATTCCTTCTTTCACCACGTCGCCTTCTAACCCTGGCGCGACGATCGTGCATGCCTAAACAAAATCGAGACTCGTCACTAAAGACAATACTGTTCCATTCCTGATCCCAGAGTGACCGTTGTCTGCACCACTCAAGGCGATTACGTCGGTGTTCTCGAGTTAAAGGGAGGACCCGGTGTGGCCGGTATGAAAACAAGCCAAAACTTCTCATTCGTCGGTAAACACTTCGCATGCCAATAGGTCTTCCGTGTTCTGCAAACCATTCATTTCCAATGGACCTGGTAGTGGAGAAACGGTCCCTTAAGGCCAATAATCTTAGGCGGCGATCTTCACGGTCTGTTGTTCTACGGCGGCGTCCAGTGCTCCTTGCTCTTTGCGTACGGCCTTCTCGAAGCCATGCCTGACAACACCTAACCACAGTGTCTACACTTCTTTGCACTCTAACTGCAATTGCCCGAAAAGAAGGTCCACCTTCCCGAAGTCCCACTATACGGCCCCTATCAAACTCACTAAGTTGACGAAATCGTACAGGTCTCCGTACTCTAGGCATCGTAACCGATCGAAAAGGATGTCAAGAACCAAAATTCGCCAACGTTGATTCTTTACTGCGGCTGAAATATTCATTTTTAGAGCGTTAGTGAATTAAAAAAAGCAGTATAAAAACCGGAATGCCCAACTGATAAGGCTGAAAATGTTTTCACTTGTTATTTACAGTAAGATAAATACATTCACCAAGTTTTATTAAAATAAAACCATTTAAACTGGGTGTTCGGATTCATATGTCACTTAGTATATGTATACGTGAATTGTGATATTTGTGGTCTAACTGTTTGCAGAATTTCATTCGTTTAAAGTCTGTTGTCTGAGTCTTCTATCTTCATTGTCACTGAGTATACATATATCGATCTTCGCTATACCACTTATACGTGGATTGCTATAGCATTAATTACGCATGTTACGAAATATCAACTAACGACATTTTTAATAATCTGCGCAAACCCGTTTAAATACATATTCAGATCAGTATTGACACATTCATATCAATTAACAATTATTACACACAATAACCATTACCGTAAACTGATATTTATAAACTTACATAATTTGAATCGGTGGTATAATATTTGCACGGTTTTACCATAAAAATACACAGGATTGGCTGATTTTTCTTTAAGCATCGTCAGACTGACATTGAGTGACTACATGCACTATCCCTACTGATATTATAAATGTGAAAGTGTATATGTATGTTTGTATGTTCCGTGTTCACACCAAAACAGCTGGACCGATTTTTATGAATCTTAGCATATATGTAGGTATACTTACGGGTGATTTGTTAAGAGGTATAGGATAAGATTTAAAAAAAAAATTGAAAAAACGATTAAATCTTTATTTGAGTCGATAGAACGGTCGATATAATTTAATGTTTAAAAATTATTTCATGTAAATGTTGGCCGCGGCTCCGCTTTAGATGGCCCATGCGCAAGGTCCAATTTTGGCACACTCTCTCCAACATATCGGCCGGTATCTCACGAATAAATGCTTCAATATTGGCTTCCAGTGCGTCAATCGTTGCTGGTCTATCCCTGTAGACATTAGCCTTAACGTGGCCCCACAAGAAATAGTCCGACGGCGTTAAATCGCACGATCTAGGCGGCCAATTGACGGGCCTCAAACGTGAGATAAACTGTTCACCGAACGCGCCTCTCAATAGGGCCATTGTTTCGTGTGCAGCGTGGCATGTGGCACCGTCTTGTTGAAACCACATGTCAGCCAAGTCCAGCTCTTCCATTTTGGGCAAAAAAAAGTTTGTTGTCATCGCACGGTGGCGCTCGCCATTCATAGTTACGGCCATTGTCGTCTTTGAAGAAGAACGCCCCGCTGATGCCACCGGCCCATAATCCACACCAAACAGTGATTTTTTTCGGGATGCATTGGTAGCTCTTGCAATGCTTCTGGCTGGTCTTCACTCCAGATGCGGCAATGTTGCTTGTTAGCGCACCCATTCAACCAGAAATGAGCTTCGTCGCTGAACACAATTTTCCGATAAAAATGTGGATCTTCCTCCAGCTTTGCCAGCGCCCATTCACCAAATTGGAAACGTTGTGGAAGGTCGTGTGGCTTCAATTCTTGCACCAGCTGTATCTTATAAGGTTTTACACCCAAATCCTGCCGCAAAATTTTCCACGTAGTGGAGTGACAGAGGCCCGGCGGCGGAGAATCGACATTTCAAGGTCATCACTAACACTGGCGGATACAGCCGCAATATTTTCTTCAGTCCTCACTCTACGTCTGCGTCTTGGTCGTTTAATGTCCAATAATGTAAACTGGGTTCGAAATTTAGTCACAAGCTTCCGAATAGCTCCCTCAGTAGGCCGACCAAATTGCCCATAAATTGGAAGCAGCGCTCGATGCACTCTCTTAACCGAGCATGAATTTTGATAGTAAAATTCAATAATTTGCAAGCGTTGTTCGTTCGTAAGTCGATTCATGGTTAAATTATAGACCAAACTGAACAAGTTCCATACCTTCCATACTTACAATGTGCTTGTTGTATAAATCCTGCGCTATGCAAAATTTATTATCAAAATTATATAAAAAAAATCTGCCCGTGCACAACCAACTATTTCGGTTTCAATGGGCTTTACAAGACAATTTTAATTAAAATTTTCTGCGACTTATAAAACATGTTAACTTAAGATTGTTTTGTGAAAGTCAGGTATTATGTTTTATTTTACGTTTATTATTGTACTGAAGTTAGCATTTGTATTTATTGAGACATTGTACTTTGGGGGAAAAAAATAAACGTATACTCAACTCAACAATGCTGCTTTTGTCCATGTGACCAAAGACAGCCAATCATGGACAGCTGTTTCGTGCTATTTGAAAACTCATCAGCGTGATCTAAGTTTGGTAGAAAACATAGCAATTATTTTCTGTTCGAGGTATGAAATGTTTCGAAATAAGACCATATCTACTGTATCACCAGAATCGTCAGCCTCTAGCGGTCACGGTGGTGATTGGGCTTTCAAACGCGAACTGATATACCTTTACAGTTACAAGCGACAGCTGCTCTCGCAGTGGACGATTCTGGTAATAGATGGCGCTTTATCGATAATGTATCTACAGATCTACTTACATAATTGTCGTATGACGCAGCATATTCTCCATGATAGTTATTGTAGAGTCCACCAGCGTTTTCAAAGCCTCCTAGGACGTTGTAGCTGGCTTCACTGATTGCCGCTAGAGCGACAAAAATCTGTTTATAACAGTAAAAAGTTATCGTTTAAGAACTACAGTATATTCAGATAAGAGATAGACCGGATGTAAACAAAAAGTTCGGGTGATTTTCACGCTAACGCCGCCGTCTCGACGTAAAACAGGAGCCCTCATTGGTCAATTCGCAATTAAATGCCTATGCCGAGCGGCAGAGCAGTCGTATCAAGGCAGAGTCACATTCAGGTTCAGACGTGTTACGTATGTCGTGTGCATCATTGCAATTTGATATTTCTTTGGACGTTTTCGTTTTTTATCTTATTAAGTTGTTGAGCTTGTCGTTGTTATTGTTATACCTTGTTATTGATTGTTATTGTTATCAACTGCTTGCGCAAAATGCCCAGTAGTACAGATACTGCCGATGAAGTTGTAAACTCCTGTAGTCCACCTAGGAAACGATCTAAAAAAAGACACCTGAGTGCAGAAATGAAAGAGGCCATTTTGAATATATATAAGATCGAGCGCGAGGAGAACGAGGCATCAACCATCAAAGAAATTGTTGTGAAGGTTTCTCACAAAGTTGGGGTGTGTCGCGCATCAGTGTTTAATGTGTTAAGACAATACAAAAAAAATCACATCTTTTCTGAGCCAATGCCCAGTAAACATCGCAAAAGTATTGTTAAATCATTGGATGAAGCTGATAAGCATGTGATTAGGAGGAAAGTGTATGAATTCTTCTTTAGGAATGAAATACCTACTATAGATAAAGTACTGCAGGAGGTAAATGGAGATACAACGTTGCCAAATTTCAAACGATCAACTTTCCATGCGTTACTGAAGCATTTAAATTTCAAATGGAAAAAACGGGGTCGTAATAGTTTACTACTGGATAGAGAAGAAATTGTGCTATGGAGGAGGGATTACTTAACAAAAATTGGGAAATATAGAAATCAAAACAGGAAGATTTATTACCTTGATGAAACATGGGTAAACGCAGGACACACTACAAGTAAAGTATGGGTTGATGATTCTGTAACTTCATCCAGGAGGGCCTTTCTAGATGGACTGTCCACCGGATTAAAAAATCCAGCAGGTAAATACGAGTAATAGACAACAATCGGATGTTTTTCAAACCTTGGGAACAAGGTTCTAAAAATTAATTCCAGGGGGCAGATAAAACATATTACAAGTAACAAAACATTTATAACTTTCGATAAAATGCGTGGATGTTTTATTATCATTTTCATTTGTTAGAACTTTTTTAAGCCATGTTTTTATGTGTTTTCGATATTTCAATAATCTTTTAATATAATCTTAAAATATGTCGAATATTATAAACTTAAAAAAAGTTACTAAGTTTTATATTGTGTACCGTTCCTAATATTTCTAATCATTTTAATTCGTACTTTAAGCTTTATAAAGTTATAATTTGTTAATATTAATATTTGCGCGTATTTCAGGTTCCTGATCATTGATTTTTTAGAGGTTTATAACTTTAAATTAAATTGTGAAGCGCTGAGTAATCATACGACGTTCAATATTCTTTCTTTCAATATGACTAAATAATCCCAATTATAGCAATCTGATACTCATGTCTCAATGTTTTTTCGCTGAATGTGATGAAAACATTTGAAAAAGGTTCGCTTATTGAAATAAATCTACACCAGTTAGTACTTCGATTTCCAGGTAAAGGGAAAAGGCTCATTATCTGCCATATTGGCAGTGAGGATGGATTTTTGTTGACGGTCTGTGGGGCTTTGAGTCTAAGAAAACTGGAGATTACCACGAGGAAATGAATGGCGGATCGTTTGAACAGTGGTTTTCAAAAATTTTACCGAACTTAGAGGAAAATGCAGTAATTGTGTTGGATAATGCGCCTTATCATTCTCGAAGAATGGAGAAGGTCCCAACAACGGCTTCAAGGAAGTTGATGTTCAAAATTGGCTCCACTCGAAAAATATCAACTTTGAAGAAGCAATGCTGAAAGTACAATTATTAAGAATTGTCAAGGATCACAAGGCGGAATATCAAAAATACGCCATTGACGAAATGGCAGCAAGTCAAAATAAAACTGTGCTCCGTTTACCTCCATACCATTGCGAGCTCAATCCCATTGAGCTCATATGGGCAGAGGTTAAAAATTATATAGCTAAGCACAATACAACTTTTAAATTTTGTGACCTCAAAGGACTTTTCAAAGAAGCACTAGAATTAATAACAGCGCAAAAATGGGAAAACTGTATTAAGCACGTGAAAGACAAAGTTGAAAAGAGAATGTGGGAACTGGACAATATTTTAGAGGAACAAGTCGAGCCATTCATTATTGACGTTGGTGCTTCAGGCAGTAGCGGTGATGAAAGCTCATCAAGCTCATCTTTCCAATAAAAGATGTCGTTCATCAAATTCTGTAAGTTATAAGTAATTATAAAGCTACTGTATTTTTTAATTAATTATTGACATTTTTGAACCCATTTTGGCAAAACCTATTCAAGAATCTACTTTCTGACAATGTTCAACCATGCACATTTTTTTACGTTTTGAACGTTTTAATTTGGTTACATATTTACCTAGAAATCAAAAAATATACTAATCAATATTCTAAAAGCAATTTTAAGAGATATACGATTATTTTTAATTTAGGCTAATTTAAACGCCATTTTGAGATTATATTCCACTGTATTTCACCAAACATCAGACGGCATCCGAAGCTGGAAATCGAAGCGAAAATTTTGAAACCCTTATGTATATTTACATCATTATATATTTATTACCCCACCCCCACATCATCCTATATCCATCACCAATCGTATACACATCGAATTGTGCTAATTTACTACAAAGTTACGCAAAGCAGCATCTACTATCTAAAATATGTACTGCGTGACTCTTAATACGTCCCTGCCGAATGTTACAGCGTTCGATGATCACGTGGTCTTGTTTATGTCCGGTCTATCTCTTATCTGAATATACTGTACCAACACAGTCTCGCATCACATATACATGAAAGATCCGTTACATGTAAGATATGTTAAAGGATGTACAGGGTGACCAACTAAGAATGCGATGTACTGTATGCGAGAACCGGTACATCGTAGAGGCTTGCGGACAAAAAAATTTCTTACTAAAACAACCAAGAGAAAAACCAGGAACATATTTTCAAATTTCTGAAATGGCCGCTAGGGGGCGTAAGGAAAATCTCATGTTAACACAAGGGCAAGGCAAAAAAAATGCATAACATGACGTGTGATGCTATTTTGACGATGCTCCAGTCTTTTATGCACTTGTGAGACATCTTTAGGCTGGAAATTTTATGCTCGTTTCAAAAATCGAAAAATTCAATATGGCGGCAGTAAGAAAAATGAAAGTTGAGGCAGGTTGCGGGAAAACAGAAGACGATTGAGACATGTCATACATCTTATTTGCCTTAGAAGATGTCGGAATAACATCACATTTTGAGAGCTGTCAAATTAACCGTTTCGCATTCACTGGCAAAAAACAAAATTCGAAATTTTCGGTTTTTCGCCGATATTTCCAAAACAATTTGACCTATCGTAAGTCTGAAGCCGGCTATCGAAAGCATTACGTTTCCTCTAAAACTTTCTCCGTTTAACCTTTGCTGTAGACATAACAAGGGCTGAAATCCCTGTATAGAGAACCGAATCTGGGACACATTGTATAACAAATGCTACGTTGTCACTTTTGGTGTTTACAACAGTTTTTACTTTTTCATAATTAAACATATATCAACTATATCTAATACTATCGTTGTTGTGGATATTTTGCGGGCTATAAAAATTAAATACAATCTAATATATGTTTTCATGATAGTGTTGAAAAATAGACATGGTGTTTGCAGGGCTTTGTAATAGATTGTAGTTAAAGAAGGTTTGATAGTGCATAATATACAGGGCGTTTCAGTTTATTGTTGCATAACTTTAAGATTCGATAGAACTTTTAAAATTAATGCATAAAGTCTATATAAACATGGGTCGAAAAATGCGTGGCTTCCGAAATACAGGGTGTTTAAATTTACTTTCTAAAACAGTTTTTTTTTAAATTTGGAACAATATTTGATGTATAACAGTGGAAATTGGTATACAAGGGTTTTTTGGTACGACAAAACGTACTATCGCACTATCGCACAACCTCTGTTTTGTGTGTACTAAAATACTAATTCACTTGTACACAATCATCCAATTTGGCATGGTAAAATTTTGCGTATTGCTATACCGAAAGCATGCATTTCTTTTGTGGGTTATTCAAGTTTTCCCTACCTCAGTGAACCGCTATACAGAGTGACTCAAACTGCTTGTAAACATTTAAAATATATCAGAAAGTAGTGAAATGTAAATGTAATCGTAATAACAAAAATATCTTCGTTCAACTAAAAAAGCTAAATCTGATATTTAACTTCACCCTATACCCGAACTTAAATTCACCTAGCAACAAAATTAGCGCCCCACAGATTAGAAACTTTATTTTAACTTCACTTTTGGAGCTCGAATATGTTTCTTGCTTTCCAAAAGTTACTCTACCTTCTGATATCTTTTAAATTAGGCCAGGATATCTAGAATTACAGAAAAAGATGTATAGGTGGATTCTACAAACGCACTCACCTAGGAACACAAATATATTAAGTGACATATAAATCCGAACACCCAGTTTAAATGGTTTTATTTTAATAAAAGTTGGTGAATGTATTTATCTTACTGTAAATAACAAGTGAAAAAATTTTCAGCCTTATCAGTTGGACATTCCGGTTTTTATACTGCTTTTTTTGAATTCACTAACGCTCTAAAAATGAATATTTCAGCCGCAGTAAAGAATCAACGTTGGCGGATTTTGGTTCTTGACATCCTTTACGATCGGTTACGATGCCTAGAGTACGGAGACCTGTACGATTTCGTCAACTTAGTGAGTTTGATAGGGGCCGTATAGTGGGACTTCGGGAAGCTGGACTTCCTTTTCGGGCAATTGCAGTTAGAGTGCAAAGAAGTGTAGACACTGTGGTTAGGTGTTGTCAGGCATGGCTTCGAGAAGGCCGTACGCAAAGAGCAAGGAGCACTGGACGCCGCCGTAGAACAACAGACCGTGAAGATCGTCGCCTAGGATTATTGGCCTTAAGGGACCGTTTCTCCACTACTAGGTCCATTGCAAATGAATGGTTTGCAGAACACGGAAGACCTATTGGCATGCGAAGTGTTTAACGACGAATGAGAAGTTTTGGCTTGTTTTCATACCGGCCACACTGGGTCCTCCCTTTAACTCGAGAACACCGACGTAATCGGCTTGAGTGGTGCAGGCAACGGTCACTCTGGGATCAGGAATGGAACAGTATTGTCTTTAGTGACGAGTCTCGATTTTGTTTATATATATATTTATTTACGTTATATATAAATTTTTTATCAAATCACTTTAGCAAGCAAGTTTCACTTACTCTATACTATTAAAGGTTTAACTATTACTTACGCTGTTCCCGCAGCTCATCGGTAGATATAGTTTTTCTTCTCAAGAAATATTGTTAAGCTTTTCACCTGATAATTTTGAAAATAAAAATAGAACGGTTTTTATTTTTTTACTCAAAAATGACGCTTTGAAGGAAAACAATTCAAGAGAGATCATTTGTTTTAAATTGAACGAAGAATTCAGAAATAATTTTTATTTGGCAAAAAATCATTTTTTTATTAAAAAATATTTTTGCATTAAATATGCAACTTTATTAAATTTCACTACGTACTAAATATCAGTGAAGTATTTGAAGCGGTTCTGAAAATATTAATTAATTTCCATTTTTTTTTCTAAAACTTCAACACCCCGAGTTTTTGTAAGGAAACATTTTTGGGCGATAGTTTATAAAACAAACTAACATTAATTTTTAAATTTTTCTTCTCAGACATTTTTTTATGTATTTCCAAACTGGTTAAGTAGATTGGACACAGATCCAGTCTCTTCGGATTTTCTTATCAACTTAGCCTTTTCATTTGTGTTCATGAACACATTATAAAATCCACCTGCACAATTTTTCTTCTCTATTTAGCCTCTAGCCAGCCTGATCCGGATAATAACTCACCGCACCCTTGAATCACTCTGTACAAATCCCAATTTCCACATTCACGAATCGCGTTTGTTTTTTCGGCTGAATGCAAAGCCTACCAGACGCACTGCATTTACTAACCAACAACGGAAACATAGTCCAATTTTCTTCGATCACGGCGGCGTTGACTTTGCGTAAGTGAAAAACGAGTGATAACTAGAGTGTTGAAATGCCCGTTACCTTAATTTATACAATAAATGTAATATGAACGGGTCGCGAGTAACGTGTGCTTTGGTTTCTGTAGTGGGCATAGGAAAAATTGCCCCTGGTGCCATTCGGTCTTAGTCCGAGACTATTAGACCAAAGAATACAAGATATTGAACTATTTTTAGTAGTCCCCCAGTCGCTAGATTGACGGAAACATAGAATTTGGCCTATTAACTTTTTTATTTTCATTTTGGTACTTGATTGTTTTTTAAAAGCACAAAGTTTGTAATTTTAATTGTAATTTGTAAATTTTTAAATGTTCATTATACGGAATACATTTATGAATTTCTTCAAGTAACTATTTATTCGGTTTAATTAAACTAAATTTTCTGGAACCAGTTTACTTGAAGGTAATATACTGTTGAACTAATTTGCTTGAAAATAGCAAAGCATGTGCCTGTTCTGTTAAACTGTTTAATTAGTTAAGATAATTTAGTATATGTAGAAATGTTGTTATGTTGACACCTCAAGGCTACGCGAGCAAGCCCCGAACTCTGGACGAATTGAAGGGCGAAATTCGCGTGGAAGTCGCCCAAGTTGAGAGAGCGATGTTGGAGAGAGTCTACGCGAACTTCCAAGAACGCCTCCGGCACTGCATCAACGATTTCGGCCACCACATGCCTGATGTGATTTTCCACACTTGACTGTCTCAAATGCTATTTCCTTGTGAACCTGATTCCGTCAATAAATTTGTTTTCGAGTAAAAATTAACTATTTTATGATTTTTTGCTGTATTTTGCCGCACCCTGTATTTTCCATATGCAGAGTGTTTCATTGGGAGCGAGAAATATTCTAACCACAAGCCTGGGTTATTAAGTGCCTTATACTCGAGTGTTTCACTTGATCACCATAATTGATCGACTTCACAGCTACTACGCCAACCAACGGCAACAATCGGATATCAGGCTCCTCGCGAGAATCACAAATGAAACTGAGGAGTAGCATTCTCCCGATCATTCACGAATGAAGGGCCGAGTTCGCGATTACAATAAACAGCCTATCTGATTTTAATAAAATGTTTACAGTATATTCAGATAAGAGATAGACCGGACATAAACAAGACCACGTGATCATCGAACGCTGTAACATTCGGCAGGGACGTATTAAGAGTCACGCAGTACATATTTTAGATAGTAGATGCTGCTTTGCGTAACTTTGTAGTAAATTAGCACAATTCGATGTGTATACGATTGGTGATGGATATAGGATCATGTGGGGGTGGGGTAAGAAATATATATTGATGTAAATATACATAAGGGTTTCAAAATGTTCGCTTCGATTTCCAGCTTCGGATACCGCCTGATGTTTGGTGAAATACAGTCGAATATAATCTCAAAATGGCGTTTAAATTAGCCTAAATTAAAAATAATCGTATATCTCTTAAAATTGCTTTTAGAATATTGATTAGTATATTTTTTGATTTCTAGGTAAATATGTAACCAAATTAAAACGTTCAAAACGTAAAAAAATGTGCATGGTTGAACATTGTCAGAAAGTAGATTCTTGACTAGGTTTTGCCAAAATGGGTTCAAAAATGTCAATAATTAATTAAAAAATACAGTAGCTTTATAATTACTTATAACTTACCGAATTTGATGAACGACATCTTTTATTGGAAAGATGAGCTTGATGAGCTTTCATCATCGCTACTGCCTGAAGCACCAACGTCAATAATGAATGGCTCGACTTGTACCTCTAAAATATTGTCCAGGTCCCACATTCTCTTTTCAACTTTGTCTTTCACGTGCTTAATACAGTTTTCCCATTTTTGCGCTGTTATTAATTCTAGTGCTTCTTTGAAAAGTCCTTTGAGGTCACAAAATTTAAAAGTTGTATTGTGCTTAGCTATATAATTATTAACCTCTGCCCATATGAGCTCAATGGGAATGAGCTCGCAATGGTATGGAGGTAAACGGAGCACAGTTTTATTTTGACTTGCTGCCATTTCGTCAATGGAGTATTTTCGATATTCCGCCTTGTGATCCTTGACAATTCTTAATAATTGTACTTTCAGCATTGCTTCTTCAAAGTTGATATTTTTCGAGCGGAGCCAATTTTGAACATCAACTTTCCTTGAAGCCGTTGTTGGGACCTTCTCCATTCTTCGAGAATGATAAGGCGCATTATCCAACACAATTACTGCGTTTTCCTCTAAGTTCGGTAAAATTTTTGAAAACCACTGTTCAAACGATTCGCCATTCATTTCCTCGTGGTAATCTCCAGTTTTCTTAGACTCAAAGCACCACAGACCGTCAACAACAAATCCTTCCTCACTGCCAATATGGCAGATAATGAGCCTTTTACCTTTACCTGGAAATCGAAGTACTAACTGGTGTAGATTTATTTCAATAAGCGAACCTTTTTCAAATGTTTTTATCACATTCAGCGAAAAAACATTGAGACATGAGTATCAGATTGCTATAATTGGGATTATTTAGTCATATTGAAAGAAAGAATATTGAACGTCGTATGATTACTCAGCGCTTCACAATTTAATCTAAAGTTATAAACCTTTAAAAAATGAATGATCAGGAACCTGAAATACGCGCAAATATTAATATTAACAAATTATAACTTTATAAAGCTTAAAGTATGAATTAAAATGATTAAAAATATTAGGAACGGTACACAATATAAAACTTAGTAACTTTTTTTAAGTTTATAATATTCGACATAATTTAAGATTATATTAAAAAATTATTGAAATATCGAAAACACATAAAAACATGGCTCAAAAAAGTTCTAACAAATGAAAATGACAATAAAACATCCACGCATTTTATTGAAAGTTATAAAAGTTTTGTTACTTGTAATATGTTTTATCTGCCCCCTGAAATTAATGTTTAGAACCTTGTTCCCAAGGTTTGAAAAACATCCGATTGTTGTCTATTACTCGTATTTACCAGCTGGATTTTTTAATCCGGTGGACAGTCCATCTAGAAAGGCCCTCCTGGATGAAGTTACAGAATCATCAACCCATACTTTACTTGTAGTGTGTCCTGCGTTTACCCACATTTCATCAAGGTAATAAATCTTCCTGTTTTGATTTCTATATTTCCCAATTTTTGTTAAATAATCCCTCCTCCATAGCACAATTTCTTCTCTATCCAGTAGTAAACTATTACGGCTCCGTTTTTTCCATTTGAAATTTAAATGCTTCAGTAACGCATGGAAAGTTGATCGTTTGAAATTTGGCAACGTTGTATCTCCATTTACCTCCTGCAGTACTTTATCTATAGTAGGTATTTCATTCCTAAAGAAGAATTCGTGCACTTTCCTCCTAATCGCATGCTTATCAGCTTCATCCAATGATTTAACAATACTTTTGCGATGTTTACTGGTCATTGGCTCAGAAAAGGTGTGATTTTTTTGTATTGTCTTAACACATTAAACACTGATGCGCGACACATCCCAACTTTGTGAGAAACCTTCACAACAATTTCTTTGATGGTTGATGCCTCGTTCTCCTCGCGCTCGATCTTATATATATTCAAAATGACCTCTTTCATTTCTGCACTCAGGTGTATTTTTTAGAGCGTTTCCTAGGTGGACTACAGGAGTTTACAACTTCATCGGCAGTATCTGTACTACTGAGCATTTTGCGCAAGCAGTTGATAACAATAACAATCAATAACAAGGTATAACAATAACAACGACAAACTCAACAACTTAATAAGATAACAAACGAAAACGTCCAAAGAAATATCAAATTGCAATGATGCACACGACATACGTAACACGTCTGAACCTGAATGTGGCTCTGCCTTGATACGACTGCTCTGCCGCTCGGCATAGGCATTTAATTGCGAATTGACCAATGAGGGCTCCTGTTTTACGTCGAGACGGCGGCGTTAGCGTGAAAATCACCCGAACCTTTTGTTTACATCCGGTCTATCTCTTATCTGAATATACTGTAGCTATTTTAAATGTATGAGGTTGTCCAATACGGATGCAGGAAAGTAAACGCATATTAAAACAAGAAAGATTGATATTCAAATCAAGTTGGGTACTTTATTTTGAAGGTTCATTTATACCATTTATGTATGAAAAATAATATCGCTCAAATGTTCACCACGACTGGATTTACAGACGTCCACGCGATGGTCGAAATTTTCAATGACATTTTGCAACATGCTCGGTTCTATGGCATTTATCTCGGCAATGATGTTGTTTTTGAGTTCTTGGAGAGTGTCTGGTTTGTTGACGTAGACTTTGCTTTTCAGATATCCCCATAAAAAGAAGTCCAAGGGAGACAAATCGCACGATCTTGGTGGCCATGGCACATTTCCTCTGCGCGAAATCACGCGATCACCGAAGAAGGACTGCAATCGATGGATATTGACGTTGGTTGTGTGGCATGTTGCACCGTCTTGTTGGAAATAAACATCGTCCATATCCATTCCTTCAAGTTGCGGCAAAAAATAGTCCTCTATCATCACGTGATGTCGCTCAGAATTGTCGGTAACGGCGTCCCCGGCCGCATTTTCGAAAAAGTAAGGTCCGATGATGCCTTTTGACCACACAGTCACTTTTTGAGGATGCATCGGCTGCTCTTGATACTCACTGGGATTTTCGTTCGCCCAGATGCGGCAGTTTTGCTTGTTCACCGTCCCATTCAAAGTGAAATGCGCTTCGTCGCTGAACATGATTTTTGATGAAAAATTGGCATCAGTTTGGCGGTGTTCGAGGAGCCAATCCGAGAACGTTCGGCGCGAAAAATGGTCGGCCCGACGCAGCTCTTGCGTCAGTTGGATCTTGTAGGCGTGTACATTCAAATCCTTGTGGAGAATGCGGAGCAAACTGGTTCTCGAAATGCCCAATTCTTGGGATCGACGCGTTGTTAATTGTTTCGGATCGTCTCTCACACTCTCCTTCACAACAGCAATATTTTCCGGAGTGCGAAGGCTCCTTGGCCGGCCAGAGCCTGGCAGATTTGCCACAGAACCTGTTGCCTCAAATTTACGCACCAGACGACCGATGGCGGTTGTTGCGACCGAAATGTTCACGAAGCGCGCGAAACGTGTTTTTTATTTTTGCACCATTTTTGTAGCGCTCTTGAATAACTTTAATGC